AAGGGGAGCTGTTCCTGTGACTCAAAGGAGTAGGGCGCCGGCCCCATATGCCAGAGGTGACAGATTCAAACCCAGCCCCAGCCAAAAACTGCAAAAAAAAAGAAAATCTTAAAGAAGAGAAAATGTTTCTTGTTCATTAAGTGGAAATGAGTCGTTGACAGGCTGCATCTTCATCTTCACTGCAAGTAGGCTGAAGAGGAGGCACTGGTGTTGCTTCCTCAGGTGTGACAGAGGCAGAAGAAAGTCCAGGTACAGCTCAGACTTGTGTTGTTCAGGGTCAAGTGCACAGTCTTCATGGGATGTGTGTTTCCATTTCTTTCAGGTGTACACCTAGGGATGGAATTGCTAGGTGACCTGGTAACTCCAGATTTATCACTGGAGGAGACTCAAGATACCTTCAGTGGCTGCACACTTTACATGCCAAAATCAGCCCTGCCTTCTCAGCTCCCTATCTTCTATCACGTTAGTGGTGTCTTTGATGGCAGAAGTTGCATCTTCTATGTTTTCCTTCCTCACAGCTTTAACAGAGGCCAGGGCATTAGGGTTTGCAGAATAAAGACCAGGTACGGCTCGGCGCCTATAGCTCAACCGGCTAAGGCGCCAGCCACATACACCTAAGGTGGCGGGTTCGAATCCCCAGCCCGGACCCGCCAAACAACAATGATGGCTGCAACCAAAAATAGCCGGGCGTTGTGGCGGGCGCCTGTGGTCCCAGTTGCTTGGGAGGCGGAGGCAGGAGACTCGCTTGAGCCCAGGAGATGGAGGTTGCTGTGAGCTGTAATGCCACGGCACTCTACCCAGGGGGACAGCTTGAGGCTCTGTCTCAAAAAAAAAAAAAAAGACCAGGTACTGCCAAATTCCACCTGGCTTCCAGAGGTCACCTGCCCACAGCCACCCTGCCCAGCTCTGAAAAGAATCAGAACTAGGTACCTGGTGACTTCAAAGGTTCACAGACCCAATGCTGCCAACTCTCAGATACTGTCAACTATAGAAGCATTGCTGTTTCAGGGATGTTAAAAACTAAAATTATGTGCTCTGTTGTGCCCCTGTAAAAGACCACTGTGCCTGGAGGTTTGTCCCAGGGGCTGTTTGAGCCTCTGTGAGGTCAGAGTCCATAACAAAGACTTCTGGCTTGCCTAGGCCTTTCCCCACTGTGAGGTTGGAGGAGCTCGCTATTCAGCTAAAATCCTGTTTTGAGCCCTGTCTCAGCACTTGTGGATAAAAGTAGAGCTGACTTCTTTTCCAGCCACCTCACCAGAATATGTTTCCATGGGATTGACGCTGTGGCAGGTTCTCCCAGCCCACAATGGCTGCACACACCCCAACCACAGCCCCAGCACTTGCCTACCTTTGCCCTGCTTGCAAGGCCTGCCTTATTGTCCCTTGGCTATCCCTCAAACTTGCAGCCTCAGGAACTTTGTATGATGGCTACCAGAGCCTCTCTCACAGATATCACTCAGCTCCCTCCCTGCAGATTCTTCCTCTGAATCTCATAGAAAGACCTCTCTAAAATGGGAGAATGGCCCTCACTGCTCCCTGGCACTGCCCAAGGGCAGGAATCATCTCTTTGGCTCATACCGTGTGGAAGGATTTTGGAACTGTGACCCTACATAGGCCAGTGCAATGTGACTCCATCTTTCCTAAGGAGAGGCCCAAGGGCACGCAGGGTCTCCAGTGCTATGTCCTTTCTCCCTAGGGGCTCCCTCAAACCTATGGACAATGATTCAAGCAGCCATCCCCCCTCACCCCAACAGGTAAAGTGAGGTCCCTACTCACCCACTCAGAGGGATTCCAAACCACATCCTCTGTGCCCTCAGGGTGGCCAGAATACAGGGTGCAACTTGACACTCCAAGAATGCTCTGAAACCATATTCCAAATGCCAATGGAGAGGTAGGACCTGGGCACCTTGTGTCCTGGCCAGCCCCCAGTACCAACTGCAGTGACACTGCACTCAGCCATCTCAGGCAGGAAGCAGGTTGACTCCTGAATGGCACAGGCACTGATGGGGCTGAGATCCAGGCAGAGCCCAAGCAACTGCCAGTCACTAGGACATTCCACCTGGCTTCCAGAGGTCACCTGCCCACAGCAAACCTGCCCGGCTCTGCTATCCCTGGAGACAGAGCTCCATGGAGGATGGGGGCCACCCAGCTGCACATGACCTAATGTCATAGGTGCTGTCATCCAGGCCAGGGCCAACAGCACTACAGCTCTGCCTCTGCTTCCTTCTCTGCCTCAGCTCAGCTGGGGAGAAGAGTTTGTGCTCAGGAGCTTACAGCCCCCGACAGTGACACTGTGGCAGCATCCAGGCAGCTGGGATTCCTAGCACACCCTGCAGTGGCCAGGCAGGCACTGCTGACCAAGCCAGGAGGGCCTTTGCTCATCTGACAAGTACACCCTGGGCAGATGATCATGAAAAAGCCCACACACACATCCCAGGCATTTCTACAGGATAGCAGGGGCAAGGGGGCCACATGGCTTGGGAAGGTGGATACTTTCTTTCTGGAGATGGAGAAAGTCTCCAGTCTTTCTGGAGATGGAGCTGCAAGGCCCAGGTGCCAGGGGCAGGTACACCCAGGGACAGGCCTGACTCTGCTGGGGGACCCTCTGGCAAGTGAGGGGGCTGCTTGGAGAACAGCTATGAGCGAGAAGGTGGGTTCTGGGACCTTCTGGAGGAGGACCTAAGAGGATTTATGGGTGTGAGGTAAGACAGTCCAGAATGTCCCTGAGTTCTGGGTCCCAGCAGCCAAGGGACAGTCTCCACCCAGCAGACTTCTCAGGGCCTTCTTGCTCTCATCAGACAAAAGAACTGTTAAATATAAAATATAAGCAATTACATTTCTGAAAAAAAGTTTGCATAGCAAAGACTTGGAAGAATATTCCCCAACTGTGAAGTGTAGTTGGTAGCTAAGAGAACACAGAAAGGCACACCCTGGGTGGTGCCTGTGGCTCAGTGAGTACGGCCCTGGCCCCATATACCAAGGGTGGCAGGTTCAAACCCAGCCCCAGCCAAACTGCAACCAAAAAATAGCCGGGTGTTGTGGTGGGTGCCTGTAGTCCCAGCTACTTGGGAGGCTG